GAAACAAACTATCCTTACTAAATAATTTTTCGATCATATTCATAAAATTAATGCTAAATGTTCAACAATAAATGCTAAATGTTCAATCGATTTACACACATTAAATTCACTTTGCCATTTTCTCAGAAATTCATTCGCATTTCATTTCAACTGCCGAGAACACAATTCCAGTTTATATTTCTAGTTAGTTTGCTGAAAGTGTAACAATCAATCAATGAGCGAAAACAATCAACATGATTAACTCGTGTTCATTTTAATTAGTTGCACTCACACACACGTGATGGCATGTGTGAAAAAGTTGTTAGCACGTTGTTCGCATACCGCATACAATTGTTTTGCTTTTGGCCATGTGTGCTGTTTAGATTAATGGGTCTAGTCAGCCCCAGTACTGGGCCATGTCCACGTGCACGTCGTTTATCGGCCAGAGCCATCGTTCCACGTCCATTAGGTAAACATCAGTCAGCATACATACATATTTATATGTATATATATGTATGTAAGTCCGATTTTGTCGCAGACTCATAATTTGTAACGTACGTTTTTGGCTTAATCACAGAAAAGCCACAAAATAATCCCAAAAGAGTCCAAAAGTTGAGCTCGGTTGCATATTAAAAAATAAAAAGACATAAATAGCGTCTAAGTGCGCCATAGATAAACTCTGAGCCACAGACAGTCCCCTCCCTATATAAACAAGCCACCCAATCACTCCTGCCACCCTGCCACCCTCCGACCTTCTCGCTCTCCCTGACTCACTCGCTCGTTTGCGCTGACTGTCTGTGTGGAAGACGCAGACAAATTATGGACAAATTACGTCGACCTGGAAATGAGCAACGGCCATGTCGCGACCATGGAGCTCCTGCTTCATTATATGCGCCGCAATAGAAGCGCCCTTATTGTCGCACACCTTCCGCCCCTCCTCATACCTCCTTTTGCACCCACCCGTCACTTCCCTTAGCCCCGTTTTGTTGGTGTGCGTTTGTCGACTGTTTGGCTTTGGCTTTGGCCTGGCTATATTTAAACCGTAGGAAGTCAGCGCCAGGACTTTGCTCAGTCGGCTGGTTAGCTCTATTTTTTCAGCTCATATGTGCATTGGGTGTATGTGTGTGCCTGTGTGTGCTTGTGTATGCGTGTATGCGTGTATGTGTGTCTGTGGTGGCGTTTTTTGCCACAACCATTTCCGCTCGTTTGTCGCCATTTTTATAAAGCGATTCTTTGGCTCTGTCAAGTTGTTGATTTCTTTGCTTTTTTTTTAGTATTTTACTCATTCCGCTGCTCAATAGCCACACCCACACCTACAACGCCCCATGCACTGTTACTTTTTTAATTTAACAACATGACAAATATTTAGGTCGCTGCCACGCCCATTCGGTACTGCGCTTAATATTAAAAATGCAATTCAACATACAGTTCTTCAACGCAGGAGGTACACAGAGAGAAAATCAAGAAGGAACTTCATGAAAATTTTCGAACGAAACGATTTTTCGGTATTTTCGCGCGTTTTCTTTTTTTGTTTTTTTTTTCGTGTCAGGGCACATTTTATATTATTTAGTGAAACTCACTTGAGCGTATAGTCAAAATGAATGGGGGCGTGGCCGAAGCAGGCCGACCAGCTCGCGGCAACGGATAAGCCATGTCGGCCTTTTACCGGAAATTGAGGCAGCAACGGCGCAAAAAGGGAGCAAAGTAAAATTGTTTCAGTTGCAGCAGCTGCAGGTGCAACATTTGCAGCTGAGTTTTCGGATTTTTTTCTCCATCATCATTTTTGTTGGCTCCATTTTGGACAAAATGCTTAAGTTGAGTCCACGATGGGGCGAGGGCGTTGTAAATAAAAGCCATGAAATATTCACGAGACAGGCTTTTAAAATATTGCTTATAATTGTATGCTCCAGCCATGGGTAGACCAGCATGAAGAAAAAGAGAAGCAGAGGCCATTGAATACTGCGAATAAGGCCATGCGGGCTGAATTTAATTGAAGTGGCCCCGAGCGTTCGCATCCTTCATAGAGCAGCCCTAACGAACAAATTACTGGCAAAGGCAATCAATCTTTATTAATCTCTACGCATAGTTTTTGAACCATTTATCAAATTAAATACGTGCATTCTATAAAATGTATCTCAACATAATTTAAAAATACTTCAAAGGACACTATATTTGTCAGTCATGGCGAATGCGCAAAGCAAGCTGCCAAAAAATGTAAATATGCCAATCCAAGAAGAAGCAGCAAAGGAAAACCTCAACGAGTCAACGTCACGAGCACGAAAAGCCAATGACAAATCGTAGCATTTGTCAGTTTGAAAAGCATGTCAAGCGACTAAATTACCGTTGTATTCCCGTTTGTCTATCTCTCTTGCACAGACACACTCAGTTAGTCTCTCTCTTTCTCTCTCTCTCTTTGGTTCTCCAATGCTTGCGTATTGATTTCGCTATTTTTCAAAAAGTTTCCTTGGCTTTCCTATGCTGCACATAGCAGCTTTTTGCATCGCCATGTCGCTGACTTTGCTTTGTTATAAAATTCAACCGCAATTCATTTGAATTCAATTGTAACAACAAAGCGTATGTGTGTGTACGAAAGTGTGTGTGTGTGTGTGTGTGTATTGCACTTCCGGCATAGCTGCTAGCATACACAAAAAGCCATAGCAGCTGTGTCAACTGTCGGCGCTCCAGCTAAAGGTCTTGCATTATGCATTTTGCTAGCAAAATTTAATGTGATTTAGACATTCAGAGTCAGAGACGCACGTCGAGGGGCATAGTAAGCGATGCCCGCATATCAGAGCCAAAATGCTTGAGGGGTCATGAGCTAAGTTTATTGTGCACATTTAAATGAAATTGCTGCGCTCAATTTATGCGCTAAACGCCAGAAGGCATTCGCCGCACACCAACCAAGCCACACACACACAGCCATTCACAGAGACACTCACAGCTATACACTGGCAGAAAAAAACGTTGGAGTAGGCCACACATACCACTGCACTCGCTGCTCATTCATTTCAATTCGTTTTTTTCTCGCTTTTTTGCCTTTTTGTTAGGCGCAATAGTTTTATGAATATCGTTTTGCTTTTTTACTTTACTTGTTATTATTTGTGGTGTTGTTTTTGCTGTTTTGTTGCTTGCTAGTTTGTTTGGCTGCAATGTGTGCATATTGTTGGCATAATTGAATGCTTTTTGCTACAGCCAAGTTGGCTGCACTTTTTGCTTTTTTGCTTCTGCCTGAGCTAAAGTCTAATATGATTTTTGTTGACTCTTTAACAGGCGATTCGAATGCAACTGGCTCAGTGACTAAACGAATTGCTTTAGAATAATATTAATAAATGTTTCTCGGAGCATATACAACTAGCTGTGCTGGTGTAGTTTGAGTAGTTTGTTGAGCTTGAGAAATAAATAAAGAACTCAAATCTTTAATGCCCTCTTTCTGACGGAATACTTACTCAGCTCGGATAGAGACCGAAGATTTAAAATTATCTTACTCTTTATATGAACATAAAATAGCACATTTTGAAAAGTAAAATGAACTCTACTTAATTAAGTCCTGGTTACGAATTGAAAAGCAGCTGCTAATCGCGCCAGTGCTTGAGCTTATCTTTTTAATCATTATATTTTGTGGCTTTGGCTGAACTTTTGCCCTCGCAGTTCGTACTAGTTGCAAATAAGTAGCACTAGTTTGACACTAGTTAGCAACTAACAACTACTTAGCCGCAAGTTCGCAGCTCCTCGCAATCTCACTCAATAAACACTTGCACAGCTCTTAATAACCCAATGCAAACTTAGTCAAGGCAGCACAACTTGGCTGTTGGAGAAAATAGGTGTGGGTGTGTGTGTGTGTGTGATACTTGATGCCAGTCGAAAGTTGGGGATGTGAACTTGGGGTTGCGACGTGGCAGTCACCGGAATGTCATGCAAGTTTATCAGCTTGTTCGAGCTGCGTGTTAAACAAAAAACGTGGCGAAACTTTCAAGTCAAAGTTTTCATGACTCCTTTGTCAATTACCTGTAGTTGGCAGGCAGAGCCTGTCAGCTGGATAGGCTTACCGCAAACAGAGAAGATGTACACACTCATATATAAACAAGCAGGGAAAATTGAGAGGCGGAGAGCACACTACACATGAGCATGTGCCTGAGTACCTGAGCACAATTTGAACCTATTGACATTTCGATTGCGTTTAACTGGGATAACTTCATCTGGCATGTTTACATGGCACGTGCGACCACACAGCCAGCTGGGCTCCAGCGTCCTACTCAATTAATGCGCTGAAAGTTTCCTATACTTTTCTTTTTTTTTGTTTCATCCTATTCATTTGCTTGGGCCAGGCCGAGCTGGTATATAATTTACGAGGCAGCCTTGTGTGTGATGGCCGAACGTGGCTAATCTATCATTATTGATTGGCATCGAGCTTTTCCACTCGACATTCCTTGGCATTCTGTAATGGCCGGCAAATGTTTGTACATTTATTAATAGTTGAATTCCCAAATGATTTTTTCTGAAATTTCTAAACTAACCACAGGAATCCATTTTATTCTAATTGCAGTTGCGGACTATCGTACAACTTTTGCGCACACTGTGGCATAAATAATTCCATTGCCAGTATATTATAAGGATTTCCAATACAATTCCAAGCAGAAAAGATACTTCGCACAGATACAGACTTAGAGATACCGACAGAGACAGAGAGAGAGACGTAAAGTGCAAAATGTGCAACACGTGCGCGCTTTCATTTTAAATATTTATAAACGCACACATACTCAGCTCGACTGCGAGAGTGTGTATGTGTGTGGATGTAGGTGTGTGGAAGGAGGCGTGCCACTAAAGTTGCGCCGACGCCTCGTCAAATTCTATTAAATATTCATCTTAACGGTTATATGCTTTGACAAAAACAACACAACAACAACAAAATATTAACAGCAACAACGCCAAAAGCAAACACTGTATAAAGGACAAACAACAACATCAGCTGAAAAAGGGCGAATGTTTGTAAATATTTAAATGAATTTATGTGCAACGCAAAAGTTTTTAATTAAGTGAAAAAATTAAAGCAACAACAAAAAGGATTGAAGCCAAGCTAAGTAAAGAACACAAAAATCATTACACAGCCAACAAGAACAACAAGCACGGAAAGTGTCACCAACACACGTACATAAAGCCAGCAAATCATTTGGTCCGCTCTTCTGTGTGTGCGTGTGTGTGAGTGTGTGTATATTTGAAATTATGTTTGCATAAAGCGAAGCAAATTTATTTGCATTTTTTATGCCCATGTAGCCGCTCTCCACCTGTACAGTACCACATACCACACACCACATACATAGAGAATTGACGTGTTACATTTACATTTGCCATTTGGCACAGTGAGTGAATAAAACAAAGGAGACAAGCAACCAAAATGGAGTCCAACACAATGAAATGCACACCGCTCATTTTGTGCCTGCTCATTGGCACTCTGCATCTCAATGGCATCGAAGCACACGAGCATAGCGATGGCTACAGGCCAGGTAAGCATACACAATGCCTATAATAAACCTAAACATATACTGACAGATAATTCTTAAACTACATAAATATATCGAATCTTGAGTTGACATCGACAAATTTTGTATACCTAAAGAACAATTTTTCTTCTTTTATTTGATGCTACAAAAATAGTATAAATTACATTATGAATTATTTTTGATATTTGTATTTAAAGCCACATGAATAACTAATTATTTGTATTTAAATACTAAACAAATATTAAAAATATTATGATTATGTTTGAGATTTGTTTTGAAAGCCACATGAATAACAATTTTATTTGTCTTTAACTGGTAAAAAAAATATAAATAATAATTTGAATAAAATTAATTTAATATTATAATCACTTTTTTATTTGTCTTTAACTAACGATATTAATATTTAATATATTTCAAATATAAAAATATTTAGAAAACCAGTTTCAGTTTTTACAAATATTATTATATATAACCCTTTAACCAGAACCAGAATCGTTAACCAGAAACATTTGGAGTATTTAAAAGTTCTTTTAACTTAATATAAATAAAACATAATATTCTCATAAATGCAAAAGATACAGAGTCTAAATCAAGATCTAATCAATATAATAATTAACAATAAATAATATTTATACAAATATTATTAGCATATTATTATATATATTATTATTATATTATTATATATAATATATTCAATAATAATATATATACAAATATGATCAGCATAGATTGATATACACTACTTGATATTCAACCAACTCATTCTATTGTAATACTAATTTATTCATTGTAAATCATTGCCTTTGTGAATCTGATTTACCAACAAATCACAATGTATATGTACATATATATGTTAAGCTCTCATCTATATGTGCGTGGCATACATCAGCGCAGCTTATTTCGTAGGGTATCCGTAGATCAGGTATTGTCGATTCATTTAATTTTTACCATATTTTAATTAAAATAACTTATTCAAACTGCTCTACATTTGATTAATTTTCATTATTTGTGTACATTGGCTCTGTGTACAATATGTTCTTGAATATTATACCCTGATCCCATTAAAAATGCCAAATCAGGGTATAATGGTTTCGTGCAAATGTATGTAACAGGCAGAAGGAGGCGTGCCAGACCCTATAAAGCATATATATTCTTGATCAGGACGACAAGCCGAGTCGATTGAGTCCTGTCCGTCTGTCCGTCCGTCCGTCTGTCCGTCTGTCCGTATGTGTGAACGCGTGGATCTCAGCATCTATAAGAGCTAGAGACTTGAAATAGCAGGTCAAGTTTGTTTCAAATATTCGATAACTATTCGCATTTAATTGTTATCGAGTAAAAACATTATTGAAATGCAGTAAATAAATTATATCTCGAACGTCTTAAGAGCTAGAGCTTCCAAATTTTGTATTTAGTCTTATGTATATTTTATGCAATTTTGATTTTTGTTGGATTTTGGATACCGGCTCCAAATTCCCCCAAATTCTTAGAATTTAAGTTTAGTTGGAACAAGGGCCATTATATGAAGGCGTTTGCATTTCAACCAAGCCAATAGGATATGTAGGGCATATGCTGAAAATTTCATTAAAATCTATTAAGTAAAACAGAAGTTATTAAACAAAACGTTTGGCCAATTTGCAAAAGCACATTTCAGCAGCGCCACGCGCACGCATTTTTCCTATGCGTGTGCACACATTCATTCAAATGCGTGTATTCTTTTCTATTCCAAGAATTGAAATTGCGATTGAATTGTGCTGAATATTAGCTGCTACTTATGCTCAAATTTGCAACAGTTCATATGAGAAGGACGGTGGCGGCGTTGGTAGAGGCGCCGCTCGCATGCAGCTTGGTTCAGGTTCGAGACCAGTGGAGATGAAATGTTTTTTATTGTTTTATTTTTTTTTTTAGTTATGAAGTGGCGGTGTTGGTAGAGTTTGTGCACGTTGCGCAAATAATCCGGGTTCGAAACCTGGTCTCGCAATGTCGATTTTTATTTGTTTTCTTTTTTTTTTTAATACTCGATACAAACTACGGAAAATATTACAAAACTCAAAGGACTGGGATCAGGGTATCTCCTAGTCGGGCACCCCGACTAGAGCTTTCTTACTTGTTTATTGTTTTATTTTTATTTTTTAATTATGAAGTGGCGGTGTTGGTAGAGTTGGTGCACGTTGCGCAAAAATTCCGGGTTCGAAACCTGGTCTCTCGATGTCGATTTTTATTTGTTTTCTTTTTTTTTGAATACTCGATACAAACTACGGAAAATTAAAAAAAAACTCAGAGGACTGGGATCAGGGTATCTCCTAGTCGGGCACCCCGACTAGAGCTTTCTTACTTGTTTAATAAGAATTTAAGCCTAGTTCGCACATTGCTGGAATGTAAATCCCTTGAATTTCATTTGAAAGGCATGTTTTTGGTTCGGCTTTGGCTGACAATGAAAGCAGTAAGCATTTAGCAAATTAAGTTTAATTATCCTGCAGAAAGATAAAATTTTAATTGCTCATTTGAAACTTTGCTTGAGGCTTTTTTGTTGGCTGTTGAAGGAGAGCAACAAAATTTGAAATAACATAAGTGGGCGTCATGCGTTTAAAAGTCTATAAAAAGTAAACTTTTGAAATTATCAGAAAATAAAACAGAATTCTGGCAGTGAAGGCAGTTTGAGAGCTAAGCTTCTATATGGATATATTACGAAAAAGTTTTATCTGGGCTGAATATCATATAGCCGAAACCTTATGAATCGAGACGAGGGTTGATAAGTTAACATTCATGTTTCTGATGTGGATAACATTGAAAGTATTTATTTTTCCATTTACCGGTACGTTGTATGACTGTTCGATTAAATATCGATGTTCGATTTCACGCAGATGCATATGCAATTTTTCTTTTTTCCCAACTTTATTTTTGCTGGAATTATTTGAATGGCAAATAGCATTCGTTCATTTATCTTTCATGAGCGATTTCTCAATTAAAAAATGACACGAACAAATGTGAATTATTTATATATGAATAAAAGAAAAGAATATTTTAACATATATGCTTATATATATAATTAAAATGCGCGAAATTATTATTGGCTTTTATTAAATGCAGCACTTAACTTCAGTTTGCAGTGTGGTGAAGCAGAGCTTTGTTTTTATGCTTGCCACTGCTTGAAAAGGTGGTCATAATTTTTACTCTTCAATTTCCCGTATATATATATATATATATATATATATATATATATGTGTGTAAATGAGCCAAAGTTTTGCTGCACGAAAATGTTAAATTAATAAATATAAAATTATTCAATTTATACAACTTCATTATTAACTTTTTTCGTATCCAAGAGGCGACATGTGCACCAGGCTTGTTTATGGCTCTTGTTGTTATTGTTTAATTTAATTTAATTTTTTGTTTTTATTTTTAAAGGTTTTTGTTGCTGCTTCATAGTCGCAAATGCAAAGCGTCACCTGCGTCACCTGGTTCATTGGGCGCCCACTGAGTCGGGCCAAGCCACGTCTGGCTGTATCCCTGCGGTGGCTACTTTGCCAGTGTTGCATAAATTCTCATTTTTATGTGTCTGCTGTTGGACTTTACATTAGCTTCTGCCATGGCTCGTTGTTCTTGTTTTTGCTGTTGCTGTTGCTGCTGATTATCCCCAGAGTGCTATATAAAAATTTGTGCGCTCGCATTTTGTTGTTGATCTCTTATTTTCGTTGCATGTATAAATTTATTGCGTTGTTCACATTTTCGAGCGCCCAGGGAGTTTATAAAATGAAATGAAGTAAAGTAAAATTGAGTTAGGCCAATAATTTATAGAACCGCATGCATAAGTGAACTGTATTCTGAGTTCGCTTTAAGCTTTCGTTGAGCATTTGTTGGTTCTGCTTAAAGCAGTTGTGCATTTGACACTTTTTTTTGGGGAAATCGCTTTAATGTCATTACACAACGCTCGTCGCTCGAGCGCTTACATAATAATTAGTAAAATAAATTTCACCTAAATACACAGAAGTGTAGCGAAGCGCAGCCCCAAGCGAGAGCAGGAAGAGGGAGAAAGAGGTTTAGGGGACAACGGCAAAGAGTAAACACAAGCATTTCCGGAACCAGGCAACAGCCAGGTAGCCCACGTGGAGGACAAAAAAGGTGCAGCAAATAGCCACGTCAAACGCACGTTCGGGCTTCACTTAGAGCTTGGTATAAGTCCTCAACGTTTGCAAATTATTTTCCATCATTTTTCACGCAAAAAGCGCACAAATTTGTACGTTTGCGGATACCGGAACCGGCTCGGCGGGGGCCCTCCGTGAGCAAGATGTGAATGTCGACAGAGACACAGCGTTCTCTTGTCAACAGGCCACGTTCGTGCTCGTTTCCTTGTCGGTGTCGGTATCAGTGTTCGCATTGCTGCCATCGGAGGCAGAAGGCGGCGGGCGGCTGGCCAGGACAGCTGCTTCGCAGAACTGCCAGCACCAAGGAGACACGCTCTAAATGAAATCTAATTAAAGTCTGCACTAAACGTGCAGCTGACATTGCAGTTGAAATTGATATTTTTTTTAAATGCTGCTTATGCAAAGCACTTTATATTTCTCTATAAGTTGAAAACTCTTTTGATATTAGATATAAACATGGCTTAGTTTAATTTGTGCTTCAGAAAAAGCTGTGTAGAAACCGTGAATCATAGAACGAATTATTGATATTACTATCAATCGTTCTTAACGCAATTAGAACTAGACATCCTTGATCCCAGCATTTCAAATTCAGAGCTATTTTTAGAGCTACTTTGAAGAGCAGCTAGATAAAGTTTAAAACGAACTGTGGGGCTATGTGGTTACTTTTACTGAGATATAAATAACATCATCAAATATTTGATGAACAATCAGAAATAAAATGATTTCAAGTTGTTTCTGCCCTTTACAGGCAGTTCCTGTCTCGCCCATAAATAGAAAAGCGTTGGGGTGTGGCTGTATGTAGTGACCACATCAATAGCAAATGCTTCAGAGCTTAAAACAAATCTAAACACACAAAAAAGT